CTGTCAACCAGCAGATTGTCAACACCCTTCTCCCAAACTCTGAACGACTTCAAGAACTTCGAGACGAGTTTGCGCCCATGGCCCATGAGCTTGGCTGGTTGGTACATTCGTTTCAAGAATCCAAAGGCTTGAAATTTCTGGGCGGAAAGAAAGTTGTCGATGATGGCTCGTCTTGCTTGGCGTATCCAGCTATCGAGATCACTGAGCATATATTATCGGATCACATGGACATATGCAGATTCTCAGGCACCGATGACGTCGAATATCGCAAAGTGGTGAGAGCTATCTCCAGAATTTCGGACTGTACCCATCACGAAAGTCCAAATACAGTTGACTCGCGAGAAGACCAGCCTGCCGACCAAGAACAACGTGAGGCGTTGCTGGAGGCCTTGAGGTTTGATCAAATAGACGCCCGTCATGCGACGATCAAGAGGGCGTACACGAAAACATGCGAATGGTTTCTGGACCAGCCTTACTTTCTCCAATGGCGGGACCCTGCTTATCACCAGCAACATGGTGGCTTTCTCTGGCTCAAGGGCAACCCTGGCACGGGGAAATCCACGATGATGAAATACCTGCTTCGTCACGTCAACAACGGCAAAGCACATGGCACGGTCCTGTCATTCTTCTTCAATGCTCGCGGCGAGGCCCTGGAGAAAACCACGCAGGGACTATATAGGTCGTTGTTGTTACAACTCCTCGAAGCCAAGCCAGATCTTCAAGCTGCAAGTTCCCGATTATACCATCCGCGTCTAAGCAGACCGAATTGGAGCCTAGAGCACCTGAAGGAGCTTCTGGAGACCGCTATTCTCGGTCATAGTGGTCGTTTGACTATCTTAGTTGACGCGTTGGATGAGTGTGGAGAGATGGAAGTTCGAGATATGATATCTTTCTTAAGAGGGGTAGGTGAAACTGCTGCGGACACAGGACTGGAAGTCTTCGTATGCTTCTCCAGCCGCCATTACCCGCACATCACGATCAGCCCAGGTCTCAAAGTTACGCTGGAACGCGAACAAGGTCATGATGATGACATCGCCAAGTATCTCAGCAAAGAACTGCATATTGGGGGTCATAGTAAGATGGCGAATACCATCCGTCAGGAAGTAGGTGAGAAGGCCAAAGGCATCTTCATGTGGGTCGTCCTTGTTGGTAAGTAACAGGCTCTATTTTCTCTTAGTCCCCTTTGCATCAGGGATGTCGGTCGCACTCGAATTGATGTGCGTAGATCGATTAACTGTCACATCGACCTCCTCTTCCACGGGAGAGCCCTCGCACTATCACGGTGGTGTACTGATTGTCCGGCCCGCGTACATTTTTCAGGGGTCGACCGGTACACCTCGAAGATTTTGCTGAACTGTCATCGCGTCTCTGCTAAGGAGCGTAGGATGAATAGTTGCTACACCTCTCCGGGATTTCAAGGGTTCACACAATATTGAGGATATTTCGTATTTGAACCGTATACGCCATTTCCCACCCAACCGAATAAGCACCAGCCCCATGACTGTACAGCCATACCTACACAACCCATGACCCCTAGTTGCATTTTTATACGTTCATTTTATGGTGCGGCCGCCATCATACCCAATGACCACTAACATTCTCACAGTTCAGATCTTGAACCGTGAATATGACCATGGGCAGATGCTGCACGCTTTACGACGAAAGCTTCGCGATATACCAGAGGATCTCCACCGGTTGTTCGAGACGATCATTGAGAAGGATGAGCGAAACCGAGACCAGCTGCTTCTCTGCATCCAACTGGTCCTCTTCGCCCCTCGACCCTTGTCAAGGGAAGAGCTGTACCACGCGATTCTATCAGATACCGACAAGGAGAACTTCCTTCCGATGGATGCAGACTTCTGTACGCCAGAGGTCATCAACCGCTTCATTCTGAGCGCGTCTAAAGGCCTTGCGGAAGTGACTAGGTCGAAGAAGCCAACCGTGCAATTCATTCACGAATCAGTCCGCGACTACCTATTAGACCATTGTAATGTGTCTAGGCTATGGCCAGACTATAGCAACAACTTCCTTGGACTTAGTCATTCGGCACTAGCCAAATGCTGTGAAGCATATCTCGTATACGATATTGAGCGACATGTTCCCATTCCGACCCATTTACCAAAAGCCTCGACCGACTATGCGAAACAGTTAAGAGAGTCCATTCCTTCATCATTCCCGTTTCTCGGCTATGCGATTCTCAATATTTTTCACCACGCTGATTATGCGCAAAATTCTGGCGTATGTCAAGAGAAGTTCTTGACGACATTCCCTCGCCACCGCTGGATCAATATTGACAATGCTCTGAACAAACACGAGGTTCGTAAATATATAAATCCGACACTACAATACGTCCTCGCGGAGTTCAATGCTTCCAACCTTATTAAGAGGGCTACATTCGAAATGCGAGAGGATGTGGAAAGATTCGCCTCCCCGCTCCTTACAGCAATTGCTCACGGCAATGACGATGCCATCGAAGCTTTGCTCCTTCGGGGCTACCCGGATGGAGATGCGACGATACTACAGCAGCGTTGCAGGACCTTTATCTCCATCGAACGACGAAAAGCCAACCTAACTTGTGTTGAGCGTGGTGTTCTAGAATGTTTGGTTATTTATGGAAATGTTCATTTCGTGGAATATTATCTATCACGTTCTAGCTGCCGGAATACCTCTGAAGTGTTTGAGGCGCTCCGCTACTCCACGATCCACGAACGACCCAATGTCGCGGCACATTTGCTCAAGAAATTTTCTGGTTTAATCGAGGGTACCGATTTTCGTCACCTGTTCCTACAAAACGTTAGTCACCCTTCCCGAATACGTGTTTTTTGGCAATTCACACCTGGAAATGCCGCTCAAGAACTGGTTTCTCCTGATTCTTTTTGCAACTTGGTCGCCAAATCGAGACACTCGTATTTACTCGACTTCCTCGTACGCCGCGGAGCAGTCGTCAATTCAGCAAACAGCGATGGGAGATTGCCACTATCCGTCGCTCTCGAGTTGGGTTCCTACCAAACGATCGAGGTACTTTTACGCCTTGGGGCTGATCTCCCCAACGTGGACCCTACCGACCCCGGCCTGCTCAAGTGTAAACACCGCGCCAGGGACGAACTCGTTAGCATCATACTTATCGGCATTCGTTATGGTGCAACTTACTTAGTAACAGCCATTTTGAGTCCTGCAACAAGCCACGGCCTATCCGTTAAACCCTGCGAAGTAGTGAACAAGGCGTTCGATGATAAGTACCTGTATACCCTCGAATCAGTGGTACGTTGGGCCGATGCCTCCGCCCTCAAAGCTTCGGATGCTCTTCACAAGGCCACCAAGTTGAGGGAGATACGCATTGTCGAGATCATTCTCGAAAATGGTGGTGTACCAGTTGATCACGTTGGCTCGAATGAATTGACCGCATTGCAAGACGCTGTGATTTATGGCTTCCTCGGAATAGCGAAAGTGCTACTCGAACACGGAGCCTCTGTGGGTATAAAGATTTCGCCAAACCACAACACCAAGGATGGGGGGTTTGCTCGCCCTGGCGATACAGCTCTCCACATTGCTGTGAGGTCACGGAATGAAGAGATGATTCGACTTCTTTTATCCTACGGCGCTGATCCTGACACGCGTGATCAGTCTGATGGTGTAACTCCTTATCAGCTTGCCACGAGACTCGGTCTGAATCATATCTTTGATGATTTTCGTAAGGAGAACCCTCCGGCTGTTTGAAGCAGACCACATAGAATTCGATATCGCGAACCCTGATGTAGGACGATGAGCGAATGGGATCCTGAAGATGAATGTTTGGGACTAGAAGGACGGGATACCGGAATTTTGGGGTGGACGGGGAACTGCCGATATGAGGGAAAATATGATTCAGTTCCAGAACCGTGCTGTATATACAGTAGAGCATAGTAGCCCGCAAGGGGAAAAGGGAAGATTCCTAAGATTCAGCAATCACCCCAGAGACGGAGATGCTCGATATATCCGACTACCTGTGCATTCCTATTTCCCTAAGTTACGTACGGTTGAGATAGTTCGCCTCAGATCGTCACTCGACGACACGGATGAGGAAGATGGGAAAGAAAGTAATAGCATATCGACTCTTTTAATGTTGAGTGGTTGATGCATTTCATCGGTATCACGGGTAGCCATTCATCCTACCACGACCGAGGATTGGGGATTAAGGGGTCATAAAAGCTGTGGAAGCAGCTGCTACGTTGGATAATAGCTCTCCATATATATATATATATATATATGTAGGGGCAAAAAAGAAGGGAAAGAAAGAGACCATTTGTCTCGCAATTTTTGATGCGCCATCACCTGATACATAGTTTTCATCCTTTCTTTCTTTCTTTTCTTGTTCACTAATGGAAGGGGGTTAACGTCAGCTGGTTCTTCATTTGTGTTGCTCTACTCATGGTCGGCTGCCCCTCTGGATGGTCCATCGACTCGAGTTCGGCTGTGGCTGGTGATGTGGCTAGGGCCAAAAAAAGCCAACAGTTGCCAGGTTGCATCTCGTACAGTATGGTCATTTCAGCCACAGAGCCACCCCTCGCGCACAAAAACACCACCCTGCCACCCTGCCACCCTGCCAGGCGCCGTCCAGAAAAAACGCTCCTCACCCCTGAAATGCCACATATCACACTAAAACCTACAACATTCAACTCACAATATTAATTATAATAATACCTCTAAAAAGACTGAAAAAGATACAAAAATAAAATTTAAACACTAAAGATTATAAAGATACTTTACTTTTAATTTTGCGATTTTTATAAGATAAGGTTTAGCTATAATAATATAAAGAAGAAAATATCACCAGAATTTTGGTGTTGCGGCTTTATCTGGAGGCGTGGTTATTTGCTATAGCGCCTGCCGCCTGCCTGCCACCCTGCCACTCTGCCACCCTGCCACTCTGCCACTCTGCCACTCTGCCACTCTGCCACTCCGTCCGGAAAGCAAAAAAAGATGGAAAATCAGCATCGCAATTGGCAAAAAGGAAATTTCTGGGCTTCAGCCGGGGATTGAACCCGGGACCTCCCGCATACAGAAGCTTAGAGTACCACCCTAAGCGGGAATCATACCGCTAGACCACCGAAGCACCGAGTTTGTCTTGAACCGGGGAGAATCCAGCCGCTGACGTTGGATTTTTGCCGGTAATTGCAACATATATTTTGTGCGGCCAGGTTTCTGTAAGCCACTCGGGTTCCTCACCGGGCTCATGACCCACATCGGGGGCGCGGGCGCAGGCGCGACGCTTATGCATCGGACGAGTGTCCTTGGACAGGGTAGTGCGAGTGCTTTGCAAAGAAATCCGCCACCATCGCCAGCAGTTGATTTGTTCCAATGGCGTTCATCAGTGCTCGCCTCCTGAAATCGGGTGACGAGCGATGCGTCGGTCGGGGTTGATTCAAGGATTCAAGATTCTATTTAATTTGCTAGGGCGAAGTCGCGCTTGTCACGATATCCGGGATCACAGGTTCCTCCAGCATCTGCGACGGCCAATTGGACACCCAAGCACAAGATGGGACTACGCGGGCTTATAGATATATCTTGTGGCAGTCAAGGCAAGCCGCGGTTTGGCCCGAGAGTCCAGACAGTATTCTGCTCCGGGGACGCTCTTTAGGAGTTCCAAACAGACCGAACACCGAGTGTCACGACTCAGGACTCAGGAGCAATGCGGCACACACCGAGCCAGTAAGGTTCTAAGGTTCCGAGCTTGTCACTGTCCCGAGAGCCTGAATCCCGCCGGACTTCAACCCTTGTCAACTCCGCCCTCAATAATCAGCGGGATTCGTGGCTCCCAGCCCTGACGTGTAATAACCCGCTTCCCTTGACGGGATTCGGTTGCCCTTCCTCAATCCAAACCCATCATTATCTATCAATTGGTACCATATTGTCTGGGTTTGGTTTCACGGCTACTCTGATGGAGAATCCCGTGGCGTCTACACCAGTAGCCGTCACACCGGCACCCTACGGCAACGCCTGCACCAACTGCGCTCGCGCCAAGTGTAGGTGCATACTCCGACCAGGGGGTAGCTGTGAGAGGTGAGAAAGACGTCACTCACCCCAATTTGATACTCCCAGATTACTCATGACCCGACCTCATTTTAGGTGTTATCGCCTGAAGAAAAATTGCACACCGACTGTGTCTGTCCGCAAACGTGGGGCCAGGGCTAAGCGGTCCCAGCTGGAGGATAAGCTAGATGACCTTGTGTCCCTACTGCAAGCCCAACAACCTGGGAACATACCGGCACACCCCATCATACAGGCCGCGAAACAGGCATTCGTCTCGCAAGAAAGCCCAGCCCGTGTTGATTTCTCCAGCCAGCAAACGTTAACCCCTGAGGCTACGTCCTCTAGTTCCACTGCTCACCATTCTCCCTCTCCCGTCTTACCAGCCGTTAACACCTATGATGGCGAGTATCTTACTCCCACCGAGGCCGAGATATGTCTCGACACTTTTCGTACTCGGTACCTCAAAGCTTTCCCCTTTTGTTATATCCCCGAGTCCACCACGGCCGAACAGCTACAGCACGAGAAGCCGCTGCTCTGGATGAATATCCGGGCGATTTGTTCCAAGACGACGCAGATCAACAAGCTCGGTGTCCGCATACGCCAGATCCTAGCTCAGAGGGTCGTCGTCGAGGGCGAGCGCAGTCTCGATCTACTCTTGAGCGTCCTAGCCTATCTCACCTGGTATGTCCCTACCACCCCTACACTACAGACAAGCAGCACTGGCACAGGATCAGCTGATGTAAATCCCAAGGTCCTTCTTCCTAGCACCCGGAAAGGCCCATACCGCCATGCTCACCACTATGGCCCAAGCCCTAATTTCCGATCTCCGCATCGAGAGATTATCCGACGACTGCCCGCCTTCGTGCTTCAGGTGCCGTTGCGCTAGATGCTCGCCCACCAGCTATCCAGCTGCCGGGGTGGGGGATCGATCCAACGCGGAACGCCGAGCAGTGTTGGCATGTTATATCATGTCTACGAGGTGAGAACGCCCAAAAACACCGCCTCAAGACTATGTGCATAGTCTTCACTCGCTCGACATACTGACAAGCCCCTGAAAGTGTCGGATCTCTTCTGCGGCGGGACCTCATGGGCTGGTCCCCCCGAACCCAGGAATGCGTCGACGTATTATCGAAAGCGCGCGAGTCTCCCGACGATGAGTTGCTCATGGCCATCGCCCGCGTGGCGAAGCTCACCGACGAGGCTGGAAGGGCGGCCCGGTATGACCCGGATGATCCGGACTCGAGAACCCCGCCCATGGCCCACGTCAGGGGCTTGATGGCGTCCCTACAGCATGTGAAGCGCACGCTGTCCCGGGATCTGATGCAGAACAGTAGGCTCACCACCGCCACCATCCCTCCCGCGTCTTGCGCCTCTAAGATCTACCCAGCCATTCTTACCACTCGTTCCTAACCTTTTTCCCAGAAATCCTCCTCTCCCACATCCACAGCACTGAGGCCCTGATCCACGAATGTGCCCTCATGACACCCCTCTCACCCCCGGGCTCCGGCTATGACACCTACGAGTTCCGGCGCATCGAGTACCTGAACGCGTGTCTACGCGCCGTCCAGGCGGTCCTCGACAACTATCTGGCCCTGGACCCGGCGGACCCGAGCCACTGCTGCACCACCATGGTCTTGGGCTTCGCGCACGGCGTTTGCAAGCTCTACCAGCTCACCATCTTCGACCACCCCGGGTGGGACCGCGCTGCCGTCCGCGCTGCTGCCGACGTGAAGGCGTACATGGATCGGTCGGCGGAGCGGCTCGAGGGTGGCGGTACGGGTGAGTTCAGGAATGGGGTGGTTGGAGAGCCTGTCGCTACTACCGCTAGGGACTTGATCCTGGCGAAAATTGCGCATGTTATAAGGTGCACCGGGTCCGGGTGGGCTGCCGCCTTGGAGAAGGCGGGGATATTTCCGCTGGCGGCCACAGCGACGCAGAGGGTTGATGATGATGAGCAGCCCAGTGTCTCCGGGGAGATGGAGCAGGTGGTGGACCCGTATTTGGAGATGGATATGTCGGCGGATACTTGGTATGGGGATCTGTTTCAATCGTGGCAGTAGGGAGTATTCGGAGGAATTAATTGCCCTGGGGTGTGTAAATCTTGACCTAAGGTGCCGTTGGAATATCGCCTGTGGGTTAATGTCTTGGTGGTGATATATGTATGTGTACAAGTTGGAATCACGATACCTACCTTCCCGGGTGTTCGCCGGGCTATGTCTGACACGCATCCTGGAAGATATCTGATTGTATCCGCCTTGATTGAGTTTGTGACCGTAAGCCTCCTCTATCGACTTCTCGCTTCTTCCAGATAAACACACCTCGGTTCCACGGGATAAATAGCCTGAGGTATAGTCGATGATCCTTTCAGGGGGTGTGTCGCGGGGTGTGTCGCGATCATGGTGTCTCTTCCTTTCAACACCAACAGACACGGTTCTGGGAGTACGTTCCATAGACTGGTATTCGATGCCCTTGCACGGGTTAGGGTAGACGGGCACTTGTTCCTGGGTGCGATATCAAAAAGCTTTCCCCTGTGACCAGATATTGCGGCGATGCAAAGCCCGTCTGCAATTCCGTTTGTATACCTTCCTAATCCTGGATACACTAATAAATCGCTCCTTCCTCCCACACCCAGACGTACACCTACTAGTAAGTGTTTTGCACCCCTACTCGTTATGGCCTACCTCAATTGGATCGGAATTGGGGAGAGAAGGGATTCGCAATCCCGGTCCGGTCCCCAGCTTCGCATTTCGCATCTCCTGTCCGTACATGTTTTGACACTACCCTCGTCCAGGTTGCCACGGGTACCTCCATATAAATATGATTTTACAGGTCCCTAGGTAATTTCTGCTCGAATCTTGCTTTTAAAAAAAATAACCCCCATCAACGCGTCACGAAGGCAAGAAACTTGATAACATTCGACAACATGCAGAATCGACCAGACGGACCCAACAAGGAGTCCCAGGACACCACGGAGGAAGACACCAAGTATATCACGGGCTTCAAGCTCGCCGGCGTCCTGGGCAGCATCACGCTCGTGGTTTTCCTCCTGCTGCTCGACCAGTCCATCCTCAGCACGGTAATTAAGCTTCGCAATGCATTACTTACATCACCTCCTCCTCCTCGTTGTCCTTGGTCGCCGTCTTCGTCGTTCTCTGGTTATGGCTTGGAGCCATATATATATATCCTCATTCACCTGTCCTTTCCGCCCGAGCCGAAACCTCACTGACACCGGAGCCCTAGGCGATACCGCAAATCACGAGCCAGTTCCATTCCCTCCAAGACGTCGGGTGGTATGCTGGAGTGTACCAGCTGTGCAAGTAAGTAAGAACGGAAGGAAGGGCAATAAATGAAATTGGGGGGCTGATGAAACGGAGATCTCTCGACGGACTGACTGACTGACTGACGATAGTGCGGCTCTGCAGCCTCTGACGGGCAAGATTTATTCGAATTTTAGCCTCAAGGTAAGCCCATATCAACTGAGCTCTGTCGTCCCAGCCAACTTCCCCCCCCCCCCCCCCCCCCCTGCGCGCGTGTGTGTGCACCAATGTGTCTGAGTATGAGATGATACTAACTGGTTGGGGATTATTATCAAGTGGGCATTCCTGATCTTCGTATTCATCTTCGAGCTCGGCTCCCTGATCAGCGGCCTCGCCGTCTCCTCGCTGATGCTGATCCTGGGCCGCGTCGTCGCCGGTATAGGGGCCTCGGGACTCCTCAACGGTGGTCTGACGATAATAGCAGCCGCCGCTCCTCTGCATAAGAGACCTCGTGAGTAGACACTACTTATATGCTCCCAGTAACGAGTTGAGATCCGCGGGACTACGGAGGGCTAATAATAATATGATACGATATCAGTGTATACCGGTATAATCATGGGATGTGAGTATTTTCCTCCTTCGTCGATGTCGCGTTATAGCTGTTGAATCGTTGCTGATACCGCCGTCCCGTACGTAGTTGGCCAAGTTGGAATCGTCTCGGGACCCTTGATCGGAGGTGAGTTTATAACGGCAACAGTCCTCCTCCGCCCCCTTCGGCTTCTGCAAAAAAAGAAGATTTACTGACTCTTACTGTTGTAAAAAGGCG